GCACACACACACGTACACACACACATGCAGAGCACGCACACACGCACGCACACACACACGCACACACACACGCACACACACACGTACACACACACATGCAGAGCACACACACACACACGCACACACACACACACACACACACGCAGAGCACACACACACACACGCGCGCACACACACACACGTACACACACACACACACGCACGCACACACACACGTACACACACACATACACGCACGCACACACGCACACACACACATACACGCACGCACACACGTACACACACACATACACGCACGCACACACACAGACATGCAGAGCACACATACACGCGCGCACACACGTACACACACACGTACACACACACACACACGTACACACACACATACACGCACGCACACACACGTTCACACACACACACACGCAGAGCACACACACACATACGTACACACACACACACACGTACACACACACATGCAGAGCACACACACGTACACACACACACGCACATACACACACGCACACACACACACACACACACTTACACACACACGCACACACACACGTTCACACACACACACACGCAGAGCACACACACACACACACAAGCACACACACACGCACGTACACACACACACATGCAGAGCACACACACACACACATACACTCACGCACACACACACGCACACACACACGTTCACACACACGCAGAGCACACACACGCGCGCACACACGTACACACACACGCACACACACACATACACGCACACACACGTACACACACACGCGCGCACACGTACACACACATACACGTACACACACACACACGCACACACACACATACACACACGTACACACACACACGTACACACACACACACACACATACACGCACGTACACACACACACGTACACACAAACACACGTACACACACACACACGTACACACACACACACACACATACACGCACGTACACACACACGTACACACAAACACGTACACACACACACACGCACACACACACACATGCAGAACACACACACACACACGCACACACACACATACACACACGTACACACACACACACGTACACACAAACACACGTACACACACACACACGTTCACACGCACACACGCACACACACACACATGCAGAACACACACACATACACGTACACACACGCTCACACACACACACGTGCGCACACACTTACACACACGCACACACACACATGCAGAGCACGCACACACGCGCACACACACACGCACACACACACACACGCGCACACACACACGCACACACACACACGCAGAGCAGGTGGAGCTGCTGCAGCTTCCTCTTCCTCCTGATCTCAGTGTCTAAACATCACAGCTGTGATTGAAACTCAGTGAAAACCCTGAATATGTGAATATCTGCGCTGTGTTTCATGTCACTGAGGTTTTATTCAGGTGTTGTTTTTATTAAAGCTGTGAGATTTGATCAGGTGGAACAGGAAGTGATGAAATAAGATCCTAAAATCGCCTGAAGAACTGAAAGATGCCCTGGATTACTGCCATCTAGTGGTGTGACTGGGAAAACCAAATGACCGCTTACATTTTTTATTTTGGATATTTAAAATGTTTTCCAGCTCCAGTGTGAAAAGCTTTTCATCGATCATTAATGAGCCATTATGAGATCAATCAATGATCATTTTCTCGATAATTTGTGTGTCAGTCTGTCGTTGTTCTGATGGGTTCTGGTTCTGTTCTGCAGCTCAGCCGTACGTGGCCATCGACTGGGACCCCGACATGAAGAAGAGGTTCTACAACGAAAACGAAGCCGAGGTCAGTCTGATTCTTGTCACCATGGAAACGTGTGGGCGTGCCCCTCACGTTCCCTGGGCCCGCAGCGCTACGTGAAGCACGGCAGCATGGAGGTGCCGCAGCAGCAGACCACCGTCCAGCTGCAGCAGTGCATCGAGCTCTTCACCACCGTGGAAACGCTGGAGGAGGAGAATCCATGGTAACCAACTGAAACAAAATGGGTCAAAAATGCAATTAGGATTCATATCATGCAAATAAATAATACAGAACTAGACTGAAGAGATCTGTCCTTATGGACCAGGAACATTCCAGAATTATTCATATCGGCACCAACACAGATATTAGATCGGTGCATCTCTACTGCAAACCTCTGCAGGTTCTGCCTGGTTCTGATCCGGTCTGTGGTTCCAGGTACTGCCCGGTGTGTAAGAAGCACCAGCTGGCCACCAAGAAGCTGGACCTGTGGTCGCTGCCGGAGGTTCTGATCATCCACCTCAAGCGGTTCTCCTACACCAAGTTCACCAGAGAGAAACTGGACACCATCGTGGATTTCCCCCTCAGGTACCGACACGTCGGGCCGAACCGGGCCGGGCCGCCAGGTCACTGCTGTGGCTCCAGAACCTTCACCGTTTCCTCTGCAGGTTTCTAACCCGACCTGCAGCAGAACCTGAACCAGACTCGCAGTCGGTCCGGTGCAGATATTTTTGCTTCATTTTCAGCTTTCTTCATATTTCATGTCGCAGCAGGAACCGGTTCTGCTGCTGTTTTCTGGTTCTGGTCCGAACCGCTCAGCCTCCGTTACCATAGGGGAAACGTCTCCATTAAACTCACCGTCCGACAGAAGAAGAAGAAATATCTCATTAATTTAATTTATAAATGAGAAATATCCAGATGTGGAGATGAAATAATTCAGATTTTATTTTGTTTTGCGAAGCGACTGAATTATAAATTCAGGTTTTAAAATATGAATTTACTTTTATTGTTTCCCAGAGAATAGAAAACAGATTTAATCAGATTTTCCATTTGGAACATTTTATCGATCAATGATTCATAATTTAACCGTCGAATCAACATTCATTCATAAAGAGGAGAAACTTTCCAGGCTGAACTGGACCTGTGGATCCTTACTGGGCCAATAAATCAGAACCTGATCAGATCCAGATTATATCCGGGTCAGAACCTCCTGCTGTGGTTGCAGAGACCTGGACTTCTCCGACTTCCTGCTGAGGAAAGGCGTTTCGCCAGAGGAGCCGCCGAGCCGCTACGACCTCATCGCCGTGTCCAATCACTACGGAGGACTCCGAGACGGACACTGTGAGTGCCGCAGCAGCCATGTTGGTTCCTGCTGGTCACATGACCTCATGCTGTGTGTATTTGTGTGTGTGTGTGTGTATGCGTGTGCGCAGACACCAGCTACGCCCAGAACAAGGACAATGGTCAGTGGTACTACTTTGATGACAGCAAGGTGACGTACGCGTCCCAGGACCAGATTGTGGTGAGTATCACTCCGCTGTGCTTTAGGGGACAGGAAGTGACATCACTTCCTAACCTGCTGAACTGGGATCTTAGCTGTTATTTTATCCAAACAAGTTCTGAACTGGTTTTAAGGCAGAATTGATGCAAGACTTTAATTAATTTGAAACATTTACTGGTTCCAGAATGAAAAACGAATCGGTTAAATCTAATATGAAAACACTTTGGACTGAATGCTTTTATTTTGTAAACAGATGGATATGTTTAAGTGTAAAGTCATCAGATGTTGACGTGCGGCGCGGCTGTAACAGGAAGTGCAGGGTCAAAGTTGGCATGGCGAGACATCGCAGGACCAGTAGGTGGCAGTGTTGGCTGTCGGGTCTTATTCAGTAAATGTTTCCATCATTAACTGTTTAAAAAAAAAAACAAAATGTAAAAACATTTTTATGGAATTATTCAGGATTTTTCTGTTTCCATCGTCATTTTTAACGTGACAAAAACCCGAAGCAGCCGGAAAACGTACTGGGATCGCTTCATATCAGTCTATTGATTATTATTATTGATTAGTTTTTTGTTTTAAATATCTGATCTATTACCAAACCTTGTATTTGACATTTCCAGTTTTTACTTTTTTTTTTTAATCATTATTTCTAAGCGGTTTTGAGGCGAAACCTGAAACTGCTGTTGCGCCAGTTACTCAACAAGTTGTTGCTAGGTAACAAGTGAACAGTTCACATCTATTGATACTGTAGATATTTGTTATTGATTTATTGTCCACCTCCAGTGATTGTTCTGTCTGTTGGGGTCAAAGGTGATGAAGTTTCTCCTGTTTTGTCCCGCAGACTAATGCTGCCTACGTTTTGTTCTACCACCGACAAGATAAGATCAGGAAGCCCACTCTGCCCGCCCCCTCCATTAGCTCCGCCTCCCAACCTGCCAATGACATCACAGAGACGGGCGCCGCCCCTTCCTGTGGCTCCATGGAAACGGACTGAACGTCTCGATTTTCTTTCTTTGACTCTGGACACTCAGGTTGATTCTGCTTGATTTGGACCCAAACCCGTCTGGACCCGCGGGTTCAGAAGGAGGAAACGGCCCGAAGCTCTGAAAGCGAGTTTATTTCTCTTTAATAAAACACCAACATTCCACTGAAAGCCTGTTTACTGCCAGCTGGACGAGTTCAGCCCGTTTTTCTCCTGGAATAAAACGTTTCATGATTTTCTGTAAATTTCACTTGATTTTCGGAAGAAGTCGCCCGGTTCTGGTGAGCAGAAGCCGGGCCGATTATTTCTATCGACGCTGTCAGGGATTTTAAATATCTGTTTGTATATTTAGCTTTCTCCAGATATTTATTTGTAATGAATTCTCTAGATGATTGGCTGGTGACTGGATTTATTTTCATATTTATAGATGAGCTTTATAACGTGGTATTGATCCGGCGGACGGGTGTACAGTATTTTTGTAAGTGAGGTGAGATGAACGGTATCAGTGGTGGGTGGAGCAGCCAGGAACGCTGAGCCCATTTCTTTATTTGTCTTCCTGTCAAATATCAGAGGAAATTATTTTATTGTACTTCTAATCTTTTGCTATGAATTAAAGGATTATCACCACCAGAGGGCGACGTTTCCAACTCATTCAGAGGGAATTTATAGAAGAAGCGCCGAGAAATTAACGTCAATTTGAATTAAAATTCTGTTTTCTTTAAAAGGTAAAAAAGAAATCAAATTAAAACATTTCAAGTTTTTATTTTTTGTTCAAAGAAAACCAAAAAATATTTTTATCCAGAAATCTGGGTCACGGTCTGGTCTCTACTTACTCTGGGGTTAAAGGTCAGGCCTGTCTGGTGGCCTTTCCAGACCATTGTCACCATGGTAACTGGACCAGGTTCCGGTACGGCCTTCAGAAAACCCAGTGGAGGCCCAGATCATCACTGATCACATCGCTTGGTGGTTTTTTCTGTACGGCCTCCCACACGTTTTCCTTCCACACGACTTTCCTTTTTGAATGAATTTACAGGATTGTATTTTCTGATGGAACCAGAACCAGGCTCCAGATTTAATCCAGAACGTGCAAAACAGAATCTGAAACCGAACATTTAGAACTATCTGAAGGTTCTGTTGGGTTTCGTTCCAGAACCTCAGGGCTCAGTGAAGCTGGTCCGGATCAGTGGTTCTCCGGGTTTCCTGAAGGTTCCGGTCTGTTTCAGACCTTCAGGAGCACCAGAGACCCGCTTATCAGAACCTCAACAGGCCACAGTGGGAACCATCCGATTCTGTCCAGAGGACCGGGTCGGGTCCGGATCAGAACCGGTCATTGGCGCTGAAGATTCCTCCAAAGTTCAGGTCTCTGGCCATGAGCTCCTCCTCCACCCTCTCCAGCGCCCACTGGTGGTTCACCACCTCCAGCGCCTCCCACTCGCTCTGAAACGGGTCAAACCGGGTCGGAGCGTTACGCAGAACCGAACCACACCACCCAAAGCTCTGATCTACCTCACCTTAAAAGCCTTGTTGGGGTCAGGTGGCATCGCCATGGCAGCGCCGGTCATCTGGTCCTGCATGATCCGTGATTGGTCAGCAGCTGTGGAGGAAACGGACCAATCAGAGAGCTTCATTCTGACGCATCATCAATCAGGAAAAACTGGTTTCAGGGAAAATACATAAAATATTTCATCGAACAAAAACCAAACATTTCCTTTTCCCGTTTCTATTTTTTCCACATGCTAAACCAGAACCAGAACCAGAACCAGAACCAGAACTCACCGTTGTCCTGGCCCAGGATCAGCGAGTACATGCTCCTCAGGCCGAACACATTCAGGAAGTACCAGGAGGCCGAGCTCACCCTGCACATCAAACAGAAGCTGAACAGAACCGGGAACAGAATCGGGAAGGTCCGGTTCTGTTGGGTCGGGTTCTCACCAGGAGGCGTCCAGCGACAGCAGGTCGATTCCTCGCTGCAGCATCGGTTTGAACCGCAGCGTCAGCGGGAACGGCACTTTGGCTGGAAAACAGACGGTTCTGGTTTTAATCCTGGCTACGGGTCAGAACCGGGTCAGAACCACCAGGAGGAGGAAACTCACTGATGACGAAGCCGGAGAAGGCCCAGTTGATCCATCCTCCGATCAGAATCATGGGCAGTACGTTGGTCAGGTTTCCCTTCATCATGTCCGTCAGCATGCTGGTGTCTGCAAACAGAACCGGGTCAGCAGAACCGGGGCGGGACGCAGCAACAGAACCGGGTCGGGAGAGGCCCAACAAGGCGACTCACCTGTCATGGGGTTCTTAGGAACGACCTTCCTCTTGACCCGCTTGAAGAAACCGGTCTCTGCATCGTTAAAGTAATGCTTCCTCATGAAGAACGACTGAAACGGATCAGAACCGACGGTCCGATCAGAATGATCGGATCGGAACCGACGGTCCAATCGGATCGGAACCAACGGTCCAATCGGATCGGAACCGACGGTCCGATCAGAACGATCGGATCGGAACCGACGGTCCGATCGGATCGGAACCGACGGTCCGATCAGAACAAGCGGATCGGAACCGACGGTCCGATCAGAACGAGCGGATCGGAACCGACGGTCTAAAGTGTCATAAATCTATTATGTTAATGTTACATCATAGAAACACAAAGTCAATATCACGTTTAAAGGTTATTGATCATTTCAGTCCAGGAAGTTTGCTCCAGATTTGTGTTGCATGAAGCTGAATACTGCTTCTCTGTGTTTGGTTCTGAGGATGCAGAACCTGAACCTGAGAGGTCTGTGTCCTCTGATGTCGGGTTCTGACCCGGTTGGTTCTGGTTTTACATCCCAACTAACAGAACTAAAATATTTAAACAAAAACTAATTTGTATCCCAGAGTGAATCTGTTGTTTTTCAAGAACTTGAGCTTTATGCCTTTCACCACTAGATGGTGTCACTCGCTGAACCCAACCAGAACCGGAACCAGAACCAGAGGCGGTCCAGCAGGCAGGAAGTGAGGCGATCTGTTTACCTGTCGGGGGATGTACTTCCCGTTCTCCCGGAGGATGCGGCTGCGCAGCAACACCTGGCTGGAGACAGAGCGTCAGAACCGGTGGTTCCGGTCCAAACAGAACTGGGCCGTCCGGACTCTCACCTGTCAGACACCTGCTCCGGGTCCAGTTTCCTGTCGCTGCTCATCAGCTGGCTCACGTAGTGCCGCAGGACGCCGACGAAGAAGGTGATGAAGACGATGGGCAGGACGACCCACATCCTGATGCTGGAGTCCAGCAGGAGCTCCGGGCCGGCCATCGGTTCTGATCCGGAAGGAGCAGCAAGGGAGGAGGCTGCTGGGGTGAAAACACTTTCACTCGTTCATCTGCTACTTCCTGGTTTGTATAATTATTCAGATGTTTCCATGAAAACCAAAGATTATTTAGTACATTTTATGGCCATAATTTAGCTCCATACAGCTCTGACTCCATCTGGTAAATTTCACACCAAACTTTTTCCTTCCATTAAACTTTCTATTGTTATATTTTGATGCAGTAGTCTGAATTACCATCTCTACAGAAGTGAGATCTCCACCGGTTTCTTCATGGTTTTATATTGGAAAGTATTCGCAGGTGTAAATAATCTTTACATTTAGAGGAGTCTGACTCTATAAATTAACTTCGCCGCAATTTTCCGCTTTATTGAGGCCATTTTTCAGTTCCAGTCATCAGAACCATCAGCTGCAGGTGACGTCAGTTCCTCCAACTGCTGAAGTTTCAAAACAACCTCGAAGCTAGCGCGGCTAGCTCGCCTGCTAGCTCGGTTTAAACCAGCGCAGAAACTCCAAACAAACTCCAGACAAACTCCGAACACTCACCTTATTCACCAACTTTCTCCAGACTCCAATAACGTGCTCCGCTGCGTCTGGAAATCATCCACATCCGGTTTAAACGGAAACGCCGTCATACTGGCGTCGTAGCGTAGCAGATAAGAACTGCACGCCAGTGAGTCCGCCATCTTGTGTGTGTCGTTTTCTCTTTAGCGTGCCACTTACATTGGGCAAAAGAAGCGCTAAATCTTTACGTTCTATAAAATTTGACTAATCGTTGTCATAAACAATGATATAAACACCTTTCAGTTATTTACTGACATAAAAATTATACGTTAACTTAAAAACCCAAAACATTAAAATTCAGAACGTGTGATTTGCGCAGATTTCATTCTGATTTGTTGCCTAAATTGGCAATAACTAAATGAAAAGCTTGATTAAATAGTTTATTTGCGAAATATTAGAGCCAGAAATGAGCAATGTTACTAACTTATTTGATTTCAGTCTGACTAATTATCACTGTCTATACATTCCATCTTATTAATCAGTTTCACTAATCAGTTTCTGTTATTTATGATTTTTTTCATTAATTGTATTTATTTATTTATTTTACATTGCTGTCACTTTAAAAAAACATCAGTCTTTTTTCTAGTGAAATGTTTCCTCTTCGTTCTCTTTGCTTGTGACTCTGTGCAAAAACACAAAGGAGAGTTTAAAATAAATCAGTGTAAGATGAAAAAGTTTCAAAATTTCAATGTAAAAAACGCATAAAATAGAAAAAAGAAAAACTGATTAAAATTAGATTATAATTGTTACTAATGAAGCCATGAAATTGAAAACAAGAGGAAAATGAATTAGTAATGATAATGTCACATTAAGAATGATTAATGACTATAAATGAAGCTAAACTGAATATAATAAAAGTTGTGATTGAAATGTTAAAAAATGACGACACAAAGAGAAAAAGTTTCCATACACATGAACAGATTTTTATAATTTCAGAGCAATAAATATTTCCACTTTGTTCATATTTCTGACATTTCAAAAACAAAGTACAAGTAATATATATTTATGTACACAGCTAAAATCTTCCAAACATAATTTTTAAAATAATGTCGTCTCTGTTGGACACATATTTGACACTTTACTCGTACAATTTTACAAGGACTATTGCAGTTTCTCTTTTTGCTCTACATTATAAACAAGAAATGATTTTTCTCCATGAAGTGATCGGCTCCAAACGGGCCGCACCGCCGTTCACCCGTCCCTGTATCCACACACAAACAAGCGGCCGTCTTCACGTGGGACGCAGAAGAGTCTGAGCTTTCATTGGAAGCAGATCTGATCGGCTGTTTTAGTTTATTTTTAAAGTTCCCTGTCTTTCCTGCAGCGGTCAGACCGGATCTGCTTCTAGGAAATAAAAAAGATAAATGAACTCAGACTTTCTCTTCCCGATGAAACGCAGCCGACGAGAGCTAAAGTTCATTTAACAACTTATGTACATTCATGTTTATAGTACAGCTCATTCAGTGCAGATACTGGAATAAATACCACATGCAAACTGATAGTGGAGAGCAGGCCTGGGCACAAAATAAGGAACAGCTAAAATAAGTGATTAAAGGAGCATTAAAAACAGCTTCTGCATGTCTCTAAACTCAATCTCCTGAGGACTTTGTGTGTTTGGATTCATTTATTACCTCATGGGAAGCAACTGCTTCAAATAAAGAGATCAATCATACAAAAAATATCATATTTGACAATAATTCAATCAAAATGCAGAACCAGGGAGGAAAAACATCCACTGCAGATGCTAATGCTAAGTAGCTAACGCTAAGTAGCTTCTGCCACAGAGCTTTAGCATTGCTAAAGCTAACGTTTATGGTTAGTGCTGTAGCTAATTATTTATCAGTGCCCACCAGTGCTATCAACATGGTGGAGTTTAGTGCTTTAGCATTAGCTTTTGATAAATACCCTGTTGCTATTGTGCATTGGTGAAAGCAATGTTTATGATTAGTTAGCTTTATAAGGTTAGTGCAGCTAACATTTTAGTTGGTGGTTCTCACCACTGCTAAACAGGTTAAAGGTTGAACTTCTTGATGGGATAATTATAAAAATACTCAACAAGTTAGGACAACCTCAAACCTCAAACCTCAACCTCAAACCTCAACCTCAAACTCAAACCTCAACCTCAAACCTAAACCTCAACCTCAAACCTCAACCTCAAACCTCATCCTCAAGACGCCGTCGGTCTGCAAAGCTGCAGCTGAATGAAACCAAAGTCTCCTGGAACATCTGGAGATGTTTGGAGAAAGTCAAACATGGAGAATAAAACTGTTCAGTTGTAAAGACAAGTTTCTCCAAACCCTAAGAGTTTAAGAAAGAACCTTGTGAGGTTCTGGTGCTGAAGGTTCTGATAACCACTGGATTCAGTTTTCAGCCCTGCTTCAGAACTTTGTTTTTGTTTCTGTCAAATTTGTCATTTTAATCTGGATTCTGACCTGATGAGAGCTGGCAGAGCCGTGAGGATGGAGAAGCTTTTCACCAAAGCTCCTGGTTAGAGGAACAGAGGTCCAAATACATTTACCAATAAACACTGGCGACGGCAGGATGGTTTCTCCTGGTGGCACCAGAATGGATCTGATCTGAAACCGAATGTTGTTTTCTGGAGGATTTGGAGTTTAGAGTCACGCAGAAACAGGCGTGGATGTGTCGGTTTCTCCTGAAACAGAACGAGCCGGGTTCCCTCGAGGTAGGCGTGATCCAGTGTGGAATGAAAACCTCTTTTTGTTTCGGTTGAAATGGTTTCTCTAAGGCCCCCATAAAGGAAACAGGTGTTTCTGTAGATGCCTGTGTAAATCCAACGGTCCGGAGGAAGGAAGGATTATTTCTGGTTTGGTGTTGAAGCAACACGACAAGCATGTCAGAAACCTGCATGTCAGTCACAGATTACTGTTGTTGTTGTAAACGTGTTAAAAGTTAAAAAACGGATTTGAGATCATAAACCCAAATCAGAAATCACATTGTAAGCACATAACAAAATCAAAAATGCTAAGAAATACAAAGCAGCCCAAGGAGAACTTCAGGTTATTAAAAGCTCGTCACACAACAATACTGAGATCAGAAGCTTGCTCTGAAACGTCAAAGAGGTTCTTCAGATTGAATTGTTTCTTTGTTTTGGCTTTTTCCAGAGGAGAACCAGGAAACCGTTTGGTGTTTCGAGCACAGGTTTGTCATTCAAGCAATTCTGAACGTCGGTTACAGATTGATGCTGTTGGCCCCACTGAAACAAGAACACACTGTACAGTTTGATATCTACAGGTGGTTTCAGGTGATTGCAGAGAAACTGAAATAATGTGCCAATGTTTCCCAACATCCAGCAGTGAGACGCTGGTCAAACAAACCAGAGCAAAGAGGGAAGAACTTTCTTCCAGCAATCGTTAGTTTCCCACATCCAAGAACGTTGATTAAAAACAGAAAAACACTGGGACAGTGGTTTTAAACTCAAAGTACAAAAATAACATCTAAAACAGAGTTCATTAAAGAGATTTCCACTTCATGTGAGACGTGGGACTTGATTTACTCTCCAGTCCGATGAGTTGTCCTTCCAGAGACTTTAGGTCCAAGTTTTAGGTCCTTTCTGTGTCTTTGTTGGATGATGAGGGTGACTGAAGGCTCGGTCCATGTTGTTTCTTAAAAATCCAGAAAATGGCTTCGTATTTCTGTTCGAGATGGACTTCGCCAACCAACGCGGAGGAAACTCAGATTTGGAATCGTCTTTTCTTTAGGTGGTTTGTCTCGGATGATGAGTCCCGTGATTATTGATTAATGTACCATCCTTATGTCTGAAGGCACCTTATGCTCTGTTTTGAAACCAAGCGGCAGATAAAACATCACTCACCCTCAACAGAAAGTCTCATTTTGCTGCTTAAAAACACAAAAGTAGTTGGTACTGGGTGGGAAATACATAAACTTGCATCTGAAACCAAAAACTCTGACATCATTTAAGGATCTTTAGTGAAAACATTGTCAGCATCAATATTTTACTGCATGCCAGTCCTGTAACATAAGAAGCCATAAATAAACAAAAAAAGAGACGTAGCTGCATGACTAAATGACCCCATTAATATAAAAACCTTCAACTTTTCTTACAATCCTCCGAAGTGCTTCAATAGATGGAAATTTCTCTACCTTCTTAAGGACGTTTCACCTCTGACCTGTCTACCTCCAGTTATGGAAATGATGTCATAACTGAACTCTAACTGAACGTTTGGGTCACTTATTTTAGAATAACATGTTTGGCTTAGGAACCCTATTAAAATAATCTCCAACCTGATGTTTTTAGTTTTCCAGAAACGATGGTGGATGCAGCATGTCAAAGGCCGAACTCTGAACTTCTCTGACCTTTCATTGGATGTAGCGATTAATGTTAAAGTTCATCATTGCACTGAAACCTTTGGCCCCACCAGGGGGTAACTTTGGATAAAAGCTTCTAAGTTAGTTGTGTCACAATTTTTTGTGAATGATTAAAACAAGAAGGAAACAAAAAAATGAAGTAAAAAATGTCAAACATAAAATTTAAAACAAAAGCATTTTCATAATTCAGTTAGCTAAAATGCTAATATTAGCCTCAATGCTAACATTTGCACAGGGGTTATCAGTAGCATGTTGACCTACAATAGCATACACCATTTAATGTGCAAAGAACAGTGTGTACACTAAAATAAGCTAGAATGCTAATGTTAGCTTACATACTAACATTAGCTTGGGAGAAATTAACATTCTCCACTCAGTGTGCAAAGAGCATTGTATGAGCTAAAATGAACTAAAATGCTTAGCTAACATGCTAACATTAGCATGGGAGATAACAGTACGTTAACAAACTGCATTCAGTGTGCAAAGAGCATTGTATACACTAAAATGAACAAAAATGCTAATGTTAGCCTAAGTGCTACCATCTGAATGTGGGTTATCATTAGCATATTAACTAATACTGACTTTCTGAATTCAGTATGCAAACATTAGTGCAAAAGCTAAAATTAGCCAAATTAGCAACAAGAAAGGCCTGCCTTGTTTGTTACCAACCATGGAGGATTCTCATAAACGCCTCATTATGGGACCATTGAAGACATATTGACGCCCCTACTGGTGATTTCAGATAAACACAAACTTCTGAAAGCTGTACCCTGCTT